ACATATATATATATATATATTGTTCTTTTAATCGCGTTGCCACCCCTCCTGCCAATTGGTTTCCTTGGCATCGTCGTTTGCACTGGGTACACCCAACCAACACCCCTGGCATGCTGGCATTGAGCGAATTCAGGACAGTTTTGGGTGACCACCCAAAGATCAAACTGGCTAACATCGGTTTTATACTGTCTCATAGTGTACCGTGCCGTGCACCTGCTGCTTTTTTGATTTGGATTTTGTGACGCCAAGCCAGCCAAACATTTCTAGGAGACTTTCGCTTTCCCATGTGTGTGAGTGTGGGCGCGTGCTTCTGTGATAGGATGACTGGAGGCCGTGTTCTGCTCATCACGACCTTGGCAGGCGTTTGTTGTGCAACGTGTGTCCAATCCCTTGTTGGAATGGTTTGGAGGGTCACTTCTGAGGTTCGGTACTTTCCTGGATCCCTAGGGAATGTATTGAAATCCTGAAATCCCGAAGTCCCGAAGTCCGGACGGACTCCACCTCATCAGCATCGCTGGATGGTTCAGCATTCCGCACGGAGCCGCGGATGAGACCCCCATTCGTGTCCGCCTGAGACGGTCGATCGACAGCGCCGCACAGCGTGTACTGTCGAGGGCGGAGTCGCCTTCAGGCATGAGCATTCCATACCAGCACACCTGCAATGGCGCTTCCATGGACAAGTTCTCGATGCTGCTCGTGGTGCTGGTCCTTGGTGCCTGGGTGGAACGATGGCTCGTTAACCCGTTAACCGGGTTTCAATATGCCATGAAACCCGCACCGGGTTTGAATGTGCCATCTCACAGTTAATCACTACCAGGACCTTCCAACAGGTGGTTTTTGGCAACCTCTTAACCTCTAAGAGGCTATTTATAGACACCTTTTGGTGTCGGTCCTGGTATTCGTCCCCCAGACCGACAGTTGGTGAAGGGCGGTGGGTGAAGGGAGTTGCCACACATGTTCTCGCCAAAACCATGTGCTCCACAGCGTGCAGGTCATTTGGCTGGTCGGAAAACATCGGGAAAATGCCCAGCCATGCCCAGCCTGATGTATGTTGACCTTGTGCTGGTGTGGGTGAACATCTGGATCCCCAAAACCCTGGTTTCGCACAGTCTTTGCAGGTCGCCTTTTGTGTTGCCTACATGTTATCTCTGGTAGTTGTTGTTCGACACTGCCGAGCCTTCCTTTTTTAGAGCAAGTTGCGTGTCAACACATGCGGACCTTGGACGCAACGATGGACTACTCCAAAACGCCGGGAACTCCATGGCGTCTCGGCGTCGCATCCGTCGTCCCCGTTTGATGCGATGGGCGTATGCCTCGACGGGTCCATCGGGTTCGTCCGGCAGCAGTTGCACCACGGTGGAACCTTGTTTTCAACTGGGTCGACCCCTGTGATGGGCCTGGGAGATTTTGGGAGCATGAATCTAGATAGTCTAGTAGCCAAGAATGAGGAATCCTTCAGGTTTTGGGGTGATCAAAGGCAGCGGATTCGCCGATGCTTCACCACGACGTCCGCCTTTCTTCTTCACTTGCTCGGTGAAGCGAGGTCAGAGGCTCTTCGCTTGAGATCGCAGTGAGGGGCAGGTGAACGGAACCGCATGCGGGGTGGCAGCTGTGTCAATTTCTCGGGTGTGTCCCATGACCTGTAACAGGGCAGGGTCAAGCTGATCACGACATTGGTAAGTTATGGTAGTTGTTACTTCTTTTTTTTTCGCTCCTTCTCAGGGGATGTCGGATGTCAGGGGTACTCTCCATCGATTTCTATCGTGCTAGGGAGAGGAAGAGTGCCACCATCTTGGCCTGCTGGAGTGGTGGCTGGTTGTTTTGGACACCTGCTGGCCTGCTGGTTGTTAGGCCGAAAGATGCGGTTTGCAGCCATCGCTGCCGTCTGTCGCCGTCGAAGACCGCGACCTTGTGAACTTCCCGCTGTGCCATTTGGAAGATTGGGTTCGGTGCAAGCTGACGGCGTGGAAAGAACCATTTCCAAGGCCAAAAGTTCTGCTTTGCTGTCATATTATGGCATCGAAGCAGCTGCCTCAAATGGCCATCTCATCTCCTGTCACCACTGCCTTCATCGGCATGCACCCCGATGTTCCGAACTGGCGACAAAACCCTTTTCACTCCCGGTTATATAGCCGGGGGTGCCTAGGGAGCTGAAGCGTCAGCCAGTGAGACATGGATATACATTTACATGGATTCTTCCATGTGCTTTTACTCCAACGTGGACCATAGCTTTGGCTCAGATGTGATGGGGTCCATTTTTGCGGGATGGGCGGCCAGGCATGTTTTCGAGGGCACACCGAAGGTGATGCTCAGCTGCTACCGCTCGAGGATGAAAAGCAACAGTGCTGTTCGGGACCTAGATGCCGCTTCAAGTCCCACAGGGCAAGAGTTTAAGAATTTAAGAGGTTGGGGAAGATTGTAAAACCAGTTTGGATTTAAGGGCCCCTGTCAAAGCTCGGATGCTTTAATTCCTATAGTCACTAGGTGTGGACAATGCCTTTCCTGCCATGGGGTGGGTCTCTTTATGGTGTTGCGCGATCCATCCAGTTGATGACCTCATCAAAGATGCAGAATTCAGAAGCCCCTGTACCACCAGCTTGGCAGGTCACACTTCACCTCGTGTCATCTTCAACGCCAACTCGAAGAGGGATTGGAAGGCGGCAAAGCTTCCGATCCCGAAACCCTAAACCTAAGAAAACCTTTTAACCTCCGATCAGTGGACCACCACCATTTTGGAGAGCTTTTGAGTACCCCACTCAACTCCGACACGGGGGAGTTGGTTCGGGTGAAGCTGTTCAAGCCCAAAGTGCTTCTGAAATGGCACTTAGTATGACTTAGTGACTCAATTAAAGATCCTTGACCCCAAGTCAACCACCCCAACTGATGTGGAGTCATCCATTTGAAGGCCAGATCCATCTCCCAAGGCCGTGACCCTGAGAGCGGGGTCTTGTGTGGCGGTACCGAACCGCGGGCGGATGGCGCAGTGGCGGCATGGTAAGGCAGGTGGGTGTCAGTGTGGCCGGAAGGGGGGAATAAATAAGATGGGACAAGAAGCACGGGAACGTTTCAGATGGCAATCCTGGAGGTGTGATGTATGTTGATATCTTTTGATCCCACGAACTGCACGCAGGTCGTTTGGAAGACTGCCTGGATGCGTTCGTTGGTTCCCATTGGTTCCAAAACCTTGCGCCGCTGGCGCGCCCGCCATAAGTTAATAAGCGGTTGTTCTTTGCAGTGATGCGCTTATGCTGCATGTTGATGTTTTGCTCCAGGTCTGGCATTTCTCTGCTTTGGATTCGAAGTGTTCCCTTACCCTGACACTCCATGGGGGACATTTTTTTTAGTCATATGCGCCTGCATTGCGGTGGTTCGGGGCGTCAAAGTAGGAATCTATTCCATTCATCGAGTGCCAGGGTTATGGTATTCCCCGAGCCATGGCATTTGATTCGATACGATCAGGCGCCCCCGCAGCGCCTTGGCGCCGCTGCGCAGAGACCCATTGGCCGTGCAGAGACCCATTTGGGCGAAGAAGAAAAGGAGGACTCTTTGACTCGGAGCCAGGTCCGTCTCAGAAACTCGTGGCACATGGTGGGTTTTCACCGCACCAGGGAGGCCTGCAAATCGGAGACGCATGTTCTGAATGTTCTTTCACACCTCGTGCTTTCGGTGTTGGAAGGGATCGAGCGGTCCCTTTTGAGGGCCGATTTGGATTTCCGGGGTGTTGGGCTCATGCGCTGCACACATCGAACACGCAGGCAATACAATACAGTTTCAAGACACATGTTCACATGTTTCACCGACACGTTTTGGTGCAAGGGTCGTTCTGATACATTGTAAGGGTATGCCATCAGTAAGCCTACTGAGCCATTTCAGGGCACAAGAGCGATATCAGACTTGCGTGAACATGCGCCGAAGATCTCAGATGCGCAGCGAGCTGCAACCATGGTATTATCATGTATTATCATGTATTATCCCTAGGGCTCCAACCATATCCTCAGAAGGTGGTTAGACCCCCCTGGCACCCACCCCAACCACCTTCTCAGGAGGTGGGCCAGGAGCCCTAGGGTATATAGTTGAACCTTGTTAGATCTCTTTAGGTTGCTTCAAGCTGAGGAATGGCAGAACTCCACACCCAATGAGTTTGAGGTGTTTTTCCTTCTCGCTTCCAAGATCTACCTAGACCTGTTCCAAGAGAGGCTCAGGAAAAGCTTTGGGTTCCCGAATGATTTCCTGAACCGTGGTCAACGTTACAAAATCTCTCTTTTGTTTTGCGTGAACCGCCGGGCCGGGAAAGAGTTTTGGTGGTTACTTTATCTAACAATCCATGTATACTGTTTACCATTGTTTACCTACATTGGGGTGGTTGAATTGGGGTCAATTCGTGTTGGTTGTGTTTGGGAGTTGGTTTGGTTGCTCATGTTTGGTCCACTTCTTCAACCTCCATATGGCGGTCATGGCGCCAGGAGACGACTCTGAATCATGCCGATCCGCTTCAGATTTGTCGAACTGGCCCCCTACACAGCTTCCCAGGGGTCCCCCTCCTACACAGCAGCTTGACCTACACAGCACCCTTTAGGGGTTGTTAAGCACTTGACCTACACAGCTTCCCGGGAACCCCCGTCCTACACAGCACTTGACCTACACAGCACCCTTTAGGGGTTGTTAAGCACTTGACCTACACAGCTTCCCAGGGGTCCCCCTCCGAGCCTCGGTGTTCGTCCCGTGGCAGACATCCAAGGCAGGCGGAGCAGCGGCATCGTGCGTGCTTGGCCTATGATCGCTTCTTGGCGCTGGGCGACGTGGGCGGAGACCAGTGACCCACCCTGCTGAAGACACCCAGTTGTTCGTCGAAAGTCATGGCGTTTTCGGTAGCCGGGTAGGTTGCAACGGCCAGACTTCAGCAAGTTAAAAGGTCAAAACAGTCAAATCCTCCACCACCACTAAGCTGCTGTGTGTGTATGTGTCGTAGCAGTAGCAATCTCAGGTTGCTACCAGACAGCGGCGAAAGAGATGGCTTGGAACTCAGTCTCGAGGTGCTTTTGTATCCCCCCTCCTCGAAAATGGAGGATCGAGGGGGGGGTACCTTTAGGAATTCCATTTTAATATTCCATTTACACAGCCAACATGTTTCCAGTTTTATCTCCGCGTGGCCCCGAGAAATTTTGACAAGCGACGCGGTTGAATGGGAAAGAGGCTCCAGCAAGCTCACTGAAAACAAGTCTGAGCATGGAGATGCCAGGGTGCCCACCAGATTCAAGACTTTTGATGGCTTTCCGCTTGGGCAGTAGATTAAGACGCCAAGAAAAAAAGAGTGCCAAGATCGTGTGAACCGCCTGAATTCACTTGACCATGCTGGCATGATTGAATATGATGGTCTTGCTTTGAATGTGGCCAAAAATCAAAAAACAAGGAGCATCGCTTACGCCCCGCGGGCGTAAGCAACGCGACCTTTTGGACGGCACCGCGGTCCCTCTGCTCGGAGCTCCCTGAGGGTCCGCATCGCTTACGCCCCGCGGGCGTAAGCAACGCGTCCATGCAGTGTATTAGGCAACGCGTCCACGCAATGTAAATCAAATCAAGGTCTGTTTCTTTGATTTAACGCTCGATGTAACCAGATGCTCGCTTGTTTTGCACTTCGAAATACCAGATACCTGGACCCCTATCCAATGTTTTTTGTTCTCGACCAGAAACAGGACGCAGCCCAAAAGAGACCAAAAAGATGACGCCAAAAGATCAAAAACACAAAGCAAATGATGCAAAATATGATGCAGAAAGTGCAAAACAGGTTGGGTAAGTGCAGGCTGGTGCTATGGACGACACTGAATATCACTGGATCTAGACCGTTGCTAATGCATCATCAGGGTCAAAAATGGATAATCCATTTTCTGTTGGGGGTCCGACCCCCCCACCCCCTGGGGTAGCAGGGATGCTTTTGTCACTCAGTCAGTGATAGAAACTGACAGTCTTCCAGAGTCATTTCTCATCCTGGTCAACGCAATGTAGCACCTCACTACTGGCAATTCTCAAGACCCCTCGCCTAGGTGAGCCACGCTCCAAAACCACAGTCACGTAGTCCTCCATCAGCTCATCCTATACTGTAATGTCCTATACTTGTTGATGGTGAAGAACCACTCACCAGCAGTTCCAACGCGGTGCCTATTGGAGGGTAGGGGTGCCCATTTTCCACTCAGGGACTTACGTAAACCATTCCGTTGGAACTGCTGGCGCTGCAATCCATCTTGGAGAAAAGGTCACTCCTTTGGCTTGACAGCGGCACACAGGCAGATGCGCGCAAAAGCTTCTGCACTGGTGGGGCGCAAGAGGACGGCGTGAGCCCGTTCAGCAACAGTATATAATTTATCCTTGTCCTTTGTTTCGGCCATGCATTCCAGCACATGTTTGTCGGGTTGTTTGAAGGCCCCCTCAAAGCGAGGCGAAAGCGAGGAAGTGTTCCGCTGTTGGCAAGACCATTGAACCCTATTGCCGATTGCTTTTAGGTGGCTTCGGCTTGGTAGCTCAGCTTCGTGCAGAAACGGCACAGACCTGGAGGGTGCCCTCCAGGAGATGCTGAAACAAGAGGCGAAAGCGATTGCGCAAGTGGCCTGCATGCTTGACAGCCTCAAGATTGATAGCTT